CATTTTGTCGTTTGGTGTGCATTTTGCACAAAGCGCAAGGTAATTCTTCTGTGCATAGAGCCACTGAGCACGCCACTTACGATAGAGGTAGAAACACTGAAATTTTCAGACGGTTTCACGTATCCTGGAAGTTGTATTAGTTATATTTTAGTGAGACAAATGACATCAATGCAGGAATCGCCAAGGCTCGCACCGTGTTTGCTAATTTGAGACACCTACAGCGTCAAAGCGGTGTATTCTTGAATTTCAAGGGACGTGTTTAGCAGTGTAGCAGCAGCAATGCGACCCGTTTTGCTGTTTGGTTTTGAGATTTGTCATGTTGGGGCAACGGAAATGAGGCCTATTTGGGGGGTAGACAAATTTCGTCTCAGAACCATAGCCCATGTGCGATGATGTCGGCGAATCCGAGGTTTCGGTTGTATGAGTAGAACTTTACTTGAAGAATGTGACCAGAAAGTGGGTTTGTTAGGCCATATGTTGCGTATGCTGTACCATCGTTTGCCGAAGGGAGAGCTGTTTTCGTGCCACATTGGAAGTGGCGGAATCAGAAAGGTGACCATCTCCTGACCGAGCAGTGGTTTACGAAAGAGATCACAAAATGATTGAGTGCTGTCGGCAATACTCGTATTTCAGGAGGGGGACTCGTGATCTTTCTCCACGCACGATTGGAGATGATGCAAGATATTTCTGCCATCTGTTGTCAGTGGCGTTCTGGTTTTGAGCTTCTCTCCAGATTGTTAAATTGGTGTTTGAAGGTATATGTACCTCGAGGTTATTGTAACAACGTGACTCCACGTCCCTTCCTCGTCCAGCTTCACACTCTGTTCTTACAATAAGGCTTTAAGATAAATCATGGTTATGCGGCAGCGAAGCGTCAGTGTTGAGCGTTTATATCATGCTGTCGATAGTGATGATAACAATGATGATGATGATAATGAATCTCACTTTTAAGGCCAACAAAGTTTCTGAAATAGAAAAAAAATGTTGGAAAGAGCTAAGAGCTAAGGTCGCTGTTGTGGGAGAGTTTTTGTACTTGCATTAAAATACAGTGTAGGTGATATGTGAAAATATTGGTGCTTCGCTTGCTTTTATTGGGTATTGATCGAACGTGTGCTAATCGTTTTATTGGATTTTCTGATTTGTTTGAGAAGATCTGGCCAATGTAAGTGAATATAGCAACAGCATGCATACTGAGGATGTTTTCCCGAATAGTGAGCACTATACACAAATGCGTCCTGCGTTCGCGTACGCGTGCAGTGCGTTTCAGAATAACTTACATTGCCAGCATGGACGCATAAAGTCCAGCTGTTTGTGCGTCTTTGAAGGAAACAGTCACGTGCAGTCGAGAAAACTGAGAATTCGGTTAGAGTTGCAAACATCTTTCGAACTACAACAGAAGTCAAATAGGTGACAACTATTAACAGTACCTCACTTATCAAGTGTTCCAGATAACCTGAAGTGGGAAGAGTAGAAATGTGTTATCATACGGTACTACCAAACATTTGCGAAGGCCACTTCTATCTCTGGGTTCATGTTTTTGGCGGGCATACCTATAAGTGTCAGGTAATCCTGCTTTGATGAGAACTCGATGGGCTAAATGGGAGCTTCAGGGACAAACGGTCCTCCTATGCACGAAATGCATTGCCTAATCAGAGTAAGCTCTGACGTTTGCCTAGTTGATCTGTGGTGGGGAGGGAAATTCACCAAGGACAATCTGGTGTACCTCAAGCTTACTGATTTTCTGTTCGCATCAGTATACGAAGATATTTCGAAAGCGACGGCTATTATTCGAGCTCGAAAACATCCAAGCCGGTATCATGTTAGCCACATCTATGCAGGAGGTTAGTAACCTCCAACCTGGCCTCTTAATTTCTGGGATTTGTTTTTATTTCGAGCCACTCCGGTCTAATGCATCTGCCCAAATGTGCAAACTTTTACATCATATCGACCGGTTTTCCCCAGGCATAAGATTTTGGTTTGGTCCCAACCCATCTTGCAGCAGGATTTTACACGATACAGGTGCGAAATACTTACACACATCGTATTGCAAAACTGCTCAGGTTGTTTAAACTGGTTTGGGTTTTTAAAGCATATTATACAAAGATTAAATATCATTCAACTACTTAATGTTTCGGAACCACCTTAATTCACGAGGTTCCACAGACAATAGACGTAACAATAGCAGTGCGTAGATTATGAAACAGAGGAAACGAAGTGACAGAAGATACACTTTTCTGGTACCCTTGGGTGTAGCGAATTTAGTTAAAGGATGTGTCCGTGAATTGATGAGTAGGGTAAACTTGACAACCAACCAACGAACGGGGTGGTTGTTTATTTTACCCAATATAATCTGACTATTTCTTCCCTTCTTGGACAATAGTTGAGTGAATAACTACCTTTATTATATGGTAGGGCGAAATTTGTGTCCATTTGGTTGCATTCTAGTTCTATGTGCATCAATCCAGTTTGAGTAATCTCCAGGTTAGAAAAATCTGCCTTATTGCGGAGCTCGTTCAAGTGCTCACCGAGTTGTTGCAGGTTCCAGGGCGTATGTGCAACATAGGGCGAGTACCCTGAGTAGCACACCTAAATGTTTGGTGGGAGACCAATTGCTCACTCAGATCCAATGTATTTGAACCTGATCGCTGAATATACAAAGCCCTTTATACCTCGGAAGCGATGACTCACAATGCAATAATGTAATTCTAAAGGGCCCAAAGGAGTTGAACTACTCGTGCCCTATTCGTTTCGTAACAACCAATAGGTTTGCCCAATGACTTTTGTCCCCGTTTTGCTCTGAAAGTAATGAAGAAAAACTTATTAGAAGTTCCAAGGATGTTGGAATGACTTACATCACAAATCAAGATTTTCCAGGGTTTGTTTATGTATATCTGCACAAAACAACTGTGGACCCCCACCAGACAGTTACCCAGTCGTCAGCGGGGTAATAAGTAAACTGTCGCGTTGCTACAGTTATGCAATGGTGGACCATGACCAGCGGTACATTATTCAATGGGGTCAGAGTACTTTGAAAACCAAATAGTCTGGGGCGATTCCAAAAGAAACTTCTATGCGCAGCCGCATTAAAAGTGAGGCAGTCACAAATTACTTCTTGTGCCACTGGCTAGGCCAGTCAGTCCGTTGCAGCTTGTAGCTTCGGGAAGATTACTCCAAAGAAAACCCTATTGCATTCCGTCTCATAGTCCGGAATTTTCATTTAGATATTATTTCCAATTACAGGAATTACTTCGAGTCTTCAAACTTACCTGTATAATTTTCGTACAACAAAGACTCTTTGGTGTTTAGGTCGTTTTCTAATGAATAGTTATCCCATTCTCCATGCGCAATTAGCATGGTGATTCCGCGTCCAAAGCAAAACACTGAACTCAAGTTTTGCGTATATCCAGAAACATTCTGGGGTTCGAGCTCCGGATATCTGACATTTCGTGCCAACTGTATCCCTACTATTTCATGAGCACATGTTGCACGCACCTGAATTACCGCTTTTAAACAGGTCAGCGTTTTCAGACCTGAGCCAGGCGACTGGTTTTGCTGACCACAACAGAGGTTGTAGAACCCTACACATCCCCCTCTGGGTGACAAAACGTGACAGGCAAAATGATAAAAGTATAAAAAAACATGCATTCGTCAGGATCGTTGTAACTTTTCTTCTATCCGTTTTGTGTACAGCCTGACCCCCTTTTTGTTGCTTCCGCCTGTACGGCCCAATATTTGCGTACATCCAGTACCATTCCGGGGTTCGAGGTCCAGATATCTGACATTTCGCATTAGTCAAGATTTTAGTAACTTTTCTTCTATCCTTTCTGTGTATAGCCTGACCCCCGTTTGGTGTTTTTCCGCTTGTACGGCCCTATTCGTTTTTACCTGAATGTAAGCCGCTCTTTGTGCTTGCCATCGCACACAAGGATTCCACTACCTTTAGATACTTTGCGTGGAGCCAGTGTAAATCATTGGATCTACTTTGACTTAATAGTTTCCAAACCAGTATAGAGGAGCTATTATGATCAAATGTAATTGCTGGAAACAATCTAAAAACATCTAGTCACCTGCGGATAGTAGCGGCAAAACTCTGTTAGCATCGTGTCATTGGCTGACACCTTGAGCTGCCTTTTGCTATGCTGCCCTGGCTATAGAGGCACCACCTAACTTCCACATGCTGAACTCTGGATGGCATTTCAACCAGGTACCAATGCAACGCAATAGATGTTGAAGTTGGATCTGTAGCATGGAGGAGTTGACCCTCCTCGCAGCGAACCAAAACTGACAAAGCGGAAAGTTGACGGGTGAAGTCAACCAAAGAAGTGACTTTCTGTCTATTACATGTGTACCAAATATACTGTAGTGGTTCAACTTGGTTTTAAATTACTTCATCTGAATGAGCGAACTGTAACGTTACCACCCACAACAACACGAAGGCTTTCAAGTGTCGGCCATCTAAAGCGGCCGAGCAATATCTAGTAAAACTATAATCTGAATTCGGAAGACCTGACCATTCAAGGGCCGAAGAATAACCGGACTCTGGCATTCAACCTACAATTTAGAGGCCACTGACTTGCTTGGGCATATCTCTCCCATTTTTAGTCATCCGACCTATACCAGCAAACCTTCGTGTGTTCACCTGTCAATAGTTAGGTAGAAATGGCTATCACCGGTGCCTCCATCTTGCTCTCTCCCGTTGTGGGTTCATCCGATGAGACTGACAGAACCTATAGCTTTGCATAGGCTCTGGTTTGTCCACAGGCGCCTAGAGCCTCAGCCCTCGCGGAAACAATCTCAGCATAATGAAGTTCCAGTGTTAAACAATGGTGCTACGCTGTTTGAAGCTACCTGTCGCTAGTTCGAAATAATATACCCCCTTCTGACATTGCTTTTGTCGATTCCCTATTAAATCCCTCTGATTCACTTGCTCCCTGGCATTATTGCGTGAGGCGCTTATCAAATATGTTGGAAGGGCTCAAGTACTCAGGCATCTTTTCCACACAAAAATATCAATTAATATAATTTGCTTGGTTACTAATTTCATAAATAGAACGCAGTTAAGGAACTTACCCTTAGTGACCACCACTATGTGTAATATAGTACCACGCTGATTTATTTTCAAAAAATGGTGACCAGTTAAAATGAGCCACACTTCCACACATATGATGATTCCTATCTGTCCCAACGAACTACACAAATAGTTTGCAGAACGGCCCACTCATTGATAGCCCTCATTCGGTTGTTGTGGCGGGTTTCAAAACCGGAAGTTCCGCTTTTGATTGTTTGAAAGACCTATACAAATCCGAATAGGGAGTTCGGTACAGGTAAACAATTTCCTTGACGTATTCACTAACAAGAAATAATCGATAGAATGTTTGAGTGAGATAGAGCCGCAGTTTTCGATTTCAATTAAGCCGGTTAGGGGTTTACTTCACGTATTTAGTGCCAACTGGTTGGTTTTGCACACAATCTAGATTAGTGAATATTAGAGCAGTCCGGTATAATTTTCTAGCCGCAGCTAGGGCAATAATGATTTGCTTGCGCGACAGTGGTCTGCGTTCGCACGAGAACTGCATCTCCCATGGTCTCTCCAGGTGGCCGCTGTCCCCTCGAGACAAAAGGTCCTGGAGTGAATGATCTCCAAGCTTCTACCCCGAGGCCTCCGTTAATCCTCTTTTTACTTGTATGCGTAGCTATTTTGTGGGTTTGTAAGTGGTAGGCCTCAATTGACCAGAAGAAAAGCCCGTAAAAACATCAAATGCCGTCAGATTTATTCTCAATGAATAGTATGCGTCAAATCAAGCTGTGCACAGGCAAGAACTACGCGTGGATATGGACCACCCACTAACAAGAAACATATTAATTGTATAGAAAATGGGCTAATGAGGCAGCCTTCTCAACTGGCCACGCATTCCTGTGCATTAGGCTGGTCATGGTGTCCTGGTTGTATTTCGATTGATTAACACCAAGTTACTCTATGTTCTAAACTCCTTTTGGAAATCTTGGGAGAGTTAAATGGCATTTAAAACAAACGGAAAAGCGAACTCACCATGTGGCCTCAGACCGACAGCTAAAATCTGGAGTCAGCAGTGGGCACCATTACAGAATACATGAAATGGCAGAGATCTCAGCATCTCCCCCTGTACTATGGCAATTCATCGGAACTCTGATTGAGATGTCCATGAAAAAAACGACGTGGAAATTTTTCATTGGAGCTCACAGCGCAGTTTACGTTAGATTTTGGGAACGCAATGGTAGAGCCAAGTATTGGGCAGTTTGATTTACTTAGAGAGCCCGAACATGGAATTTCATTAGGGAAAGTGCCTGATCGCGATTTTCGCTGCGTTTATTGTCTGAATGTCTCACAAACCGTTGGTCCGTTAGACGGCTTCGTTGAGGTGTTACAACCCAACATTGAGCTACACACTAAAGACGTTGGAGCCAGTCGCAGCATTACGGCAGTTGATTTCGGGCTCATATTCCTGTCAAAACACCCTCCAAGTTGTTCGCTGTAAACCTGTGGGGCCACAGTCCTACAAATCTCCTCAAAGCTGACCGGAAAGTTTTGGATAAGGAAAGTTTGATACAGTGTTTTCTGGGAGATGCGAAATAGTGCGAAGTTGCTTAATTTTAATCCGATTCATAACATCAAGGAATGAGGTTGTGAAATGATAAACCGGGGCTTCCGGAAAGCGACTGCCGTTTACAGCTCACGCACTTGTGATCCAGCAACTCCACAGTCTTCTAGATGCGTACCAGTAGGCAGTGGTCATAAGGACACCTAGATTGGCTCCACATCTTCGGCAGTCAATACTAGTTTTTGTTCCTCAGTCATATCTACAGTTACTCAACGTATACTAAGTGTCACCTACTGGTGTGCAGCTTAAGTAGTTCTGGACCCTGTCGTAACTTGATGTTAAGTCGTTGAAACGAACCTTCTAGAAACTGATGCAAATTGGTACCACACAAAAGGCATTTCCAAGTCTCCGTATCCCACTGGCAAAATTTTTACCTATCTACGATGCGGTCGCGTATTGTCTGTTATCAATAATAGCAAGAAACAAAACTGAACTCCATTAAAGATGATGAGAAAATTAAGTTAGAAGGGATTTTGCGCACTCATTAAGAAAACGAGGGAGTATCACAAATTAGAACGATCCATTCAGTAGTTATGGAATGGAACGGGTGGATTCTCGAAGAGGATCTATAATGCCCTTGGTCCCGTGATTAGAAATACATTTTCACTGGATGATAGATGTGTGATTTATTTATTTCTTTCGCCAAAAATCGTAATAATCTACAACCAGGACTGTCAGGGAATGCTACATTAAGATGCATCGAGAAGGTTTCATTGTAAGGTGGATAAGACAGCCTGTAAGCTCGTCTGAATTTCCACTTAGCTCTATGCGTGAAAAGGCGACTTTTTATCGGTTAACTTTTAGCAAGTATAGTAAAGCGACCGGCGTGGAACAAAGAGGCTATCCTACGGCACTGCCACATATTTGCTAAGGTGACTTCTATTTCTGGGTTTATGTTTTTGGGGACATACATCTAAGTTGCCGTAAATCTCCTTTGATGAGTTCTTGATGGACGGGAGGACAGATCGAAGGGCAACCGTTCGTTTAGCACACGAAGCGCATTACCTGATCAGCGTAAGATTGGAGTGCTTGGTACGTGATGGGAGAGTGAAATTAACCAATTACAATCTGGCCTACCTCAACCTTACTGATGTGATGTTCTCATCGGTATACGGAGACATTTCAAAAGTAACGACTGCGCCTCGAACTCGCAAAGGGGGTTAGTAACATTAAACATGGCCTCCTAATTTCTAGACATTATTTTGTTTTCCTTGGAGCCTGTCGAGCCTAATGCAGCTGCCCAAATGTGTGAAATTGTACATCATATCGACCGACTTTTCCTCGAGCATAAGATTTGGGTTTTGTCCCAATCTATCTTTCAGCAGCATTTTACACGTTTAAAGGTGCAAAAAACTTACGCACATCGTACTGAAAAACTGCATCATGTGATCCAAGAATTCAAATATCGTTCACCTACTTAGTGCGCGTGAGCACGTTTCGTAATGTAATCTGATTTTTTCCTTCTTGAACAACAGTTGAGTGAATAGCTACATTTATTTTGTGGTACGCCGAAATGTGGGCCTGGTTTTTGGTTGCATTCTTGTTCTGTGTGCACCAATGCCGTTCGAGAAATCTCCAAGTTGGCAAAATCTGCCTTATAGTGGGGCTCGTTCAAGTGGTCAGCGAATAGGTTCCGGTTCGATTGCATATATGTGTAACATAGGGCGAGCATCCTGAATAGTTCAACCAAATGTTTAGTGGGAGATACTTCGCTTACTCAGGTCTATATTACTTGAATCCTTACCGGAATCTACAATGGCACTTATACCTTGGAAGCGATGATTCGCAATGCCATGCGCTAACTCCAAAAGATCAGGTGCAACTTAACTGCTCGTGGCCTCGTTTTGTAACAGTTCATTTTGAACAGGACCAAATATGGTTTAAAAACAATGAATGGGTTCGTCCAATTACTTTTGTCTTCTTTTAGCGCTTGAAATAATAAAGCACACCTCAT